TGGTAATTTATAATCAGTCACAAGAATGTCGAATCTGAATCACTTGAAAAAAACACGGGGGTGCTTAACTTTTTCCAGGTGTATACTTTCATAGCCTATTTGAAATGTGAAATAGTTATTTAGTTTGAAGTTAAGCACAAAGCTACACAATGGACTAGCATTGCAAGTCCGCTGTGCCACTGGGGTACGGGTGGGGCTTGTGAAATGGACAAGTCAAATGATTCACATTTTATTTTCTTTGGTTTTTCGTAGAATTGTCTGATCAAACGGCGAAAACAATAAATGAACATTTACTTATTTGTCTGATGTGGCTCACCAGATGTTGCAGAAATACTCTAATATTACAGTATAGCATTGCTTAAATCGTCGCTTGGAACTGTCAGTTGGAGATGCAATTTCCGAAATACATGGCGTTAATAATTTTCGTTCATTTATGGACAAATTGTACTCTTTATACAGTCAATCTCCGAAAAACCAAAGAGAAATTCAATAGTGTACAGCGAAGTTTGATGTAGAGACGAAAAAATTGGATGCGCGTTGGGAACTAATGGGTTGCAAATTCATTCAGAACTGTTTCAGCTATTTGAAAAGGCTATACATTTCTGTATTATCATTTCGAGTCTGTTAGCAGTGGCATGGATAAAAATCGATCAAAATTTGACCAATGTGCTTTCAGGAGGCTTTATAAATGCATTTCTTCTTGATCTGGCATCTATGCACGATGTATTATTCGAATTATCCCTTCTTTCTGAAACGTTACAGAAAAGGAATATTACTATAGTTTATGCAGACAAGTTAATTCGTTGCAGCATACATTTTGTTGAAGCAGAGAATGAACGCAAGGGTAAAGATACTAGAAGCAGAGAATGCTGTTAAGGAAATGAAATTTCCATCAATAAAACTGACAGATAACAAGAAGATTCTTTCAGCCAATCATTGTCAATTTTTAACTAGTATCATAATTTGAAACAACGGTTATTCACACCAACTTCTCATGAACTAACTGGGTCATAGTCAGGCACTTCCATCAGATGTGAATCCTTTAATCAAGTTTTCAAAAGTCATCCTTGCACTTCTTCCAAATGCGAACGAGGCTTTAGAAGCATGAACCTTATTGTTACGGAAACAAAGTCTAGGCTGTTAATCAACGATGTGACAAATCTCATGTTCATTAAACGTCAAGGCCCTCCGATTCAGAACTGGAAACCAGATGGTTATGTATACAAATGGCTTAGGTGTCATCGTTCAGCAACTGATACACAAACAAGAGTAGCCAAGTCCAATGAACTCGCTCTGGATGAAGTTTGGAAGTTCTGTTAATAAGTTATCCAGAAATTCAAAAGTTCAATGTGAGATAAAATTAATTTTGTATTGTAACATTTTCATATGTACATTTCAATAACAAATTACAGCCACTATTTCTGAAATGTGTGTTTTTATGTATAAGCAAGTAGTAAATACTAATAGTAACACTTCAAAACGTGTTCGGACACTTCTTTATTTAGCACTACACCACTGCAATCATTAAAATCTTTGAATTTTGTTTTATTGTTGAGAACATATTGCATTTTGTTAATATAATTCAGTTTATTGTGGATAACACCACCTGTACCTTTATTAAGTAGGGCGACAACGATATTTTTTGTCATTAGCTAATTCCTTTAAGTTAAGACAGTATATTATTCGTGAGTGATAGTGGAATCGACGTTATGTAAAACAACATTTTTGAACCTGGTTTTTGCAAAACTCTCTAAGTTCTGGGAACAATTTCTGTTGAAAATAGGATGAGATTTAAAAGATTTATAAGTGCATTCAAAGGGGAACAAGTAATTACAGAATCTAAGTTTAGGGGAGAAAAGCAAAACTTTAGGCCCTTAGCTAGAGCACTTTTACATGGTTCGTTATGTACAATATATCTTATTTTACCTTGTTCAGTATAGTTTACTGGAAATGGAATACGTATATTCCGTAACATTCACGAATTAAATGTTTGTTACCGCCACAAACATATCAATTGTTTGTTGTTCTTCCGGTCGTACTATTATTCATCATTAAATAATGATGATGAAACTCGTGGTTAGCCAATAAAAGGTAACCAGTGTTTTCCATCTTTCTAGAAATATTAAAATCTATCAATTTATTTCCCCGCAATATATAGAAAATCAATTTTACTTGCGATTTTTATATCACTAATAACGCAAGAAGAAACGTTTTATTAACACATGGTCTACACAGGTTATGTAATTAAGAGGGAATGTGAAGTGTATTGTGGACTGTCATCAAGTTGGCATCTATTGAGAAAAATACTGAGTTAGAATGTAGTAGCCATGTAGTTTCTGTTGTTAAAATGTCTTAATAGTTAGGAGAAAACTTTAGTTAAGTTGAAGAGCACTCACTTGACAATAAAAAAAAAATCCTCATTTCTATATCAGGCATTTCATTTTCATTTTGTTCATAATAGGATTATTCCTCTTGGGTTTATTCTTTTTAAGGTTCCTCCTTTGATTACTGTTAATTTATATACCTTCTGCTACCTATAATACTTTCAGTGTTATTCTAACTCACCAACATTTCAGTTGATGATGTTCCAAAGCAAACCTTTTCAACAAAATTCTTACACATTTTATTCTTTTTTGGCAGGGTATTCATTTTTCAGTGTTATTCCTTTTTTTGGCCTCATTCCTTTCACTATTGATTTTTGGTTTCAGTTTATATGAGTTTAGTACAGTGCACCAGTTTCAACTACTTCCACAGCTTTGGTCCTTTTTTGATAAAAATCACAAATACTAATTCAGTTCAACTGCAATAGTTTTTGTTTTTTAACGTATATATTATTCTATGTTTTAGAATTTCTAAAATTAGAAACGTTACATTGTTACCAAACAATGAAAAACAGTTTCCAATTTAATGATGTGCAGATTTTTTTGAAGTCCTTATACATCACAGGTCTTTACAGTAGCTTCTTCTTCTTCTTCTTCTACTGTATATTTTAGCCAAAGATAAATGTTATGGACATTTCTAGAACACCTCCTTTATAAATTAGGAATTACTTCTTCATAGATATATGAACAATAAAGGTTTTCTGAATAATTCAGAATGCTAAAATACATTTGATTACAACCTTAAGATCAAACACTGCTAAGGAACAGAAATACTATATTGTGAAGTATAATAATTTTACATTAACTAAGATTTTAAATACATTATCAACCAAAAATATAATACATACATTTCACTACACAACCAATCTCAACTTCTATACCAGAGTATTAAGCCACCTACAATGTTTAAGTAATTAACAAAAACATTTAAAAATAATAAATATTTTTCTAAAATTTAAACAATGGAATAATTGTATAGGCTATATTTAAAAAAGTATGTCAATTATGTCAAAACCTTTCCAGTGTATCTTTGAAGCACTCAGATCTTAAAGATGTAAATAACTGTTAAAAAATTTTAAGCTGTGCTATACTTAAACTACAAGCTGTTATTTCTAACAGATTTATGTGGAGGAAAATGTAATCTAATAAAAACAATAGAACCAGAGAATTACTGTGCCTAAATCTCACAAACTCTTATATAAGTACTAAATACAAATTCAACTGAGAACTGTCTTTAAAACAATGTATCAGATAAAAAAAATTTTCCATTCAAAAGACAGCATTCTGACCCACTTTGATCAGGAACGATTTCATATACATGTGGCAGATGCAAAACTACCTACAACGGTAAAAGAAAACCATACCTCATTTAACTGCACATATCCATAAACACATGGGAACTTCCTATAGAACCAGTCACCCTTTATCACCTCCCTGTACCTCTGCTATCTGCACATACAGTCAAATTACTGGACACAAAATTTCCTCAACTGATTTAGAGTTTTAGCTACAGGCTGCAAAGACTTGGAATTTCTCATTACAGAGAGTCTACTAATTAAACAAAATCTTCCTAGCATAAATAGTAACTTCTTTTCAATTAAGCTTGTTTTGATTATTTCTCACTAGCTATATAGACACTTTTACTAATTCATTTAGTGTGGTTCTTAATTATATCTAAGTTCACTCCTATCTTTTTTTTGCAACCCCCCTCCCATTTGAGACTTAAAATGGCCCTTACAAATGTTTATCATAGTACATGAGCTTTTATTTAACATTCATGTGATTATTTGTAATTACAGTTTTTTGCTCACTGTAGAAATTTGTGATGAAATGTTTATATTCCAAAACATCCAAACATGTTGTTATTCATCGCTTTTGTGGTTATAATGTTCATCGTAAGTTGTTACTTAAATCAAAATATAAAGTTTGGAGACAGCTGTTTGTGGGATAATTACTTGTAATTACAGTTATTTGCTCACTGTAGAAATTTGTGATGAAACGTTTATATTCCAAAACATCCAATACATACGTTGTTATTCATCACTTTTGTGGTTATAATGTTCATCATAAGTTGTTATTTAAATCAAAATATGAAGTTTTGAGACAGCTGTTTGTGGGATAATAGATTTCTGTACAACATTTTGTCTCTATAACAGTGAAACATAATCACGCACAACATTTAAGGTACAAGTAGATTTCAATTGCAAATACATCTGATCAAATAATTCAGTTTATGATACTAGCTCCCTCTGGTTTTAGAAGTAATTAACTTAATAAAAATATAATGGCACTGCTGATGTTTTATTAACTTTAGGTTTTAATACTTTGATTTTTAGTGCTTCCAGAATTTATTTTTTGTTTGGGTTTTTCTCTCTATTCGGTATTTTAATATTTTTAAAGTATATTTCATGTTGTTTTTCAATCATATGTTCAGTTGCATTTGACTCTTTTCATTTTTCATGTTCCATGCATCAGGTCATTATTCTCCTACCTGTTTCTCCTATCATACAGAAACAAATCTATAAATAGCTGTCTGAAAACTTCACATTTTTCATAAGTGGGTCCTCTTAAAAAGCAAAATTTGTTACTTTTAATTTGTAATCAGTCATTACATAACAAACTGAGTTTATAACTCTTTTGTGTTAAGGTTATTTGGAACAATATAAATTCACTGTGAATTTCATAATCTGTTAAAAGGTTATACCCGGTTTCATTTTTCTTGTTTACACCTTACACTCATTTATGAATGGTGAATAACATGAAGCTGATAGTTCAGTTTCTGTATCATTCATGACTGTAAATTTTAAATAGTATAAAACATATCATTATGATTTGAATATTAATTAAACAAGGTTTCTGAACAATGGTTATTCCAAAGTAACATTTAGTTACAAATTTTCTAATTTGTACACACATAAAAAAAGTTAACTTACAAAAACATTGAATTATTAAGAGCAAACTGTTCCTCCACATATGTTATGATACAAGTGTTCTGGAAAGTTCTGATACTATTTACACACACATTTATATTGCGTAACACTGATTCATGATTTGACTACAATAAATCTTTCATTCAACATCCATGTGAAGCTCATCATTCATATCTACATACATCAGTACCATTTATTACACACAATATAATATCTACTTCTTTCATAGCACCAATGATCCAAATAAAGCATACTGCTTTTTTTTACATGTAGAAACATGAGTAACAAATGATTTTTTTAACATCCATGCAAATATCCTGATGACATAAAAAGGTGTTTTCAGAATTCTTCTACCTAATTCTTTTTCTGTTTCTTTGTTTTAGAATTTTCAAGCAAAGCTACAAATACAGCTATTTCTGCATAGCTGGCCCTGATTTTGAGCTGATATACTAGATAAAAGACAGCTAGTTGCAGTGGTATAACTACAAAAGAAGGACCCCCAGCATAAAAAGTAATTGGACCTCTACATATATTTCCCAACAACTGATTCACAATTTTGGCTGATTTGGCTCAGCCTCCCCCACAGTTGTGGGGGCTGCAGGGGCATATTTACACCATTGGACAGTTGGTAGCACCCACTGTCAACTTTTGAGCTATTTCTCTGACAGAATATTAGTATTTCACCATCACTATTATAGTGCACTCACAGCCCCAAGGTGCAGAGCTAATTTCTGTGTCAATGAAATGCAAACCATGAGTTCTCAAATTCCAAGTATGGGCATGCTAACCAGTAGGTCATGACCAGCTCATGTTTTTTCTGTAACACCTTTCAAGATGACCTTAAAATAACTTTCTTTACAAAAGAAGAAAAAAGTAGAGCTGTATGTTCAATCTGGAAATCTTATCACTTATTACATACATAAAATTATAAACATAAACAATAAAAGTGGTACCAGGCTTTGTATTATATGATTTCTTCTAAGAAGCACATCAGGTTTTACTCTCATGACATACAAGATACTTTTCATACACTTCTTCAATAAATTCAAAACGGTCCAACCTGTTGTGCAGCCTACGCTGAGGATTCTAAGAAAAAAAAAAGCAAAGCAATTTGCATCAAATTTTTATGTAATATGTTTTTAAGCTTCTCATAAACAATTGAAATTTCAAGTCAAGGAATATTCAGTAGTTTATGAAAATAGGTTATTTTTTTCTTGATTGCAAGTAAGTCAATAACCCTGAATTGTATTTAAAAATAATGGCTTCTTATCTTGAGAAAAATATTTTACTATTACGTTTATGCACAAGAACAACCAAATATAAATGATCAAAGTGTAAATCTCATCATGAAAATTCACAAATGCATAGAAAAATTTATGTATGCCTTCTGCATGAAATCAGAATTTAGTATAGAATCCTTGTAGATTCCTTGAAACTGAAGGCCAAAGAAGATCTCATAGTAGAAACCTCATTCTCAAACAAAGCAGTGATAAAAGTACTTGTGTTTATCCAAAAAAACATCACAGGATTTATTTTGAGGAACAGCTTATATCTATATTTTCTAAAGAAAAGTATTTTTTTATTTCCTATAAAATAGAAAAAGGCAACAAAAGATGTCAAAACATGTCAACAAACTAAAGATCTATGTCATTAATATGCCTTTCGAGAACTGTTTGCTAGGTATTTCAAATGGATTAGCAGGTTGATAAATAAATGTCAAGAGCATTGTGTTGAATAATCTCTCAATGAGGTTGATAAGTAGATGATGCTGGCAACAGATATTGAACACTCTGTGAAGAGTTAGATGAGAAAAAGCCAGTAGAAGAGTATTTTAACTGCTTTGATGATTTACCAAGGCAATGACATTAGCCTCCTAACTGTTGTGAGTGGGTTTAATTGCCTAACTAGCAGTTAAAATGGTGAGTTGGCTAACAAATCAACAATTGTTTGTTATGAATTTCGTGCAAAGCTACACGAGGGCTATCTGTGCTAGCCGTCCCTAATTTAGCAGTGTAAGACTAGAGGGAAGGCAGCTAGTCATCACCATGTACCACCAACTCTTGGGCTACTCTTTTACCAACAAATAGTGGGATTGACCATCACATTATAATGCCCCCATGACTGAAAGGACAAGCATGTTTGGTGTTACGGGGATTCAAACCCATAAAACGCAGATTGCGAGTCAATTGCCCTAACCACCTGACCATGCCGGGCCCACAAATCAACAAATAAAAGGAAGTATGTTCATTACTTTCTGAACAAACAAGTGTTGGTTCGTGGTATGATGTAACATTTTATGATAGATAATCAACAACAGAGCAGTTAGGAATCAGAAAATAAGGTGGCTGCACAATATATGTGCCATAAAAGACTTGCAAATCGTATGTTTGTGATTTATCTAATGTTTAGTAGTAAGGTGTCACTGTAGTGTTTGTAATAATCACTCAATTTACTTAGTGAGGATAGACCATATTGTTGCGTCAGCGAGGTCACGTGACCTCGCTGACGCAACACTGCCCCCTCCTTAGTATTGTTCATCCCGAATAATAGCCACTTACAATAAACCAATAACAATTAACAATAACTTAATTAAATGTACAGAATTACAATCACAAAATTACAATTCAACAAAGTCTCTTAATTTTACGGGACGTATCTTCTTCCGTACTGGTCTCCGTCTCGTTGGCTTCTGCTTCATGGTGGGGTTCATCAGTAAATGTCCTATCATCAGTAACAGTCACATCAGTGGTAGTAACTTCATCAATAGCTTCACCGTTTCTTTTCTTAAAGCTGAGTAGAGTTTCTTCTTCGATGGTGGCTTCTTCAGGTGGCATGTCTTCAGCAGCGTCATTTGTTCTGTTGTCCACTTCATCCCAACTGAAATGTCCTATTGGCATGCACCACTTTTGGCTTACCTCGCAGACCACATTTTATCCGGAAAGTCACGTCTGAGAGACGATACAATACGTCATATGGGCCTTCCCATGGAGAAGACAACTTGGGAGACTTCCCTTTGGTCTTCCTGGGATTATACAACCATACCTTGTCTCCTGGTACAAAGCTGACTTCAGTAGATCTCTTATCATAGGTTAACTTCATTGAATCAGCAGACGTTTTCAAGTTTGAACGTACTTGATGGTGAATATCAT